CTTGAAGCTCCTTGGCTGACTTGCCCTTGTCTCTTTGTCCAGAACTAGGTCATGAGTTGAGGTCACTGGAATTCATTTTGTCTATAAATAAGAGAAAAATTCTAAAAGAGGCTTAAATGGCTTGAAGTTTATTTCTGACTTATGACCAAAAAGTCTGATGGCAGTGCAGGCTGGTGTGCCACTCTTTCACTTTTTGGTGTCAGGGGCTCAGGCTCTTCCACATTGTACTCTGCTTGTATGTCCTCCATCCTGCCCTCCTCATCTCCAGGTTACCTCACGATCCCAAGGTGGCTGCTGAAGCCCAGCCATCATAGCCCCCCATTCCATGCAGGAAAGAGGGAAGAAGAGTGTGACCGCAGGTTCCCTTAAGGACACTTCCTAGAAGTCACACACACCATTCCCACTGGGATTTCACTGGCCGGGCATTAATCTCCTGGTCATGTTGGATGAAAAGGGAATTCGGAAATGTCTTTTCCTGGGAGTCATGTTCACAGCTGAAAACCAGGAGTTATGAGCGGCAGTATAACCCAGTGCAGGAGCTCTTAACCTGGGGCCCATCCAGAATTCCAGCACAGGTCCATGAATTTGGATGGGGAAAATAACATCTTTATTTTCAATAACCTATAACTCGAATTTAACTTTCCTCCTGTTCTGAATTGTAGTATTACAATAGCAAAATATAAATAGTGTCAGCAAAACCTGTGGAAATCATGACTGTTCACATCTCATTTCAGCTGTTGCAGGTACTTCTAGTGTTGTCAGTGTTCTCCTCTGTTTCAAAATTGTGGTTGTTATTAAACCTGCTAAGGGCGGCATCCCCCCTCCCCTGCCCAAATTAAAAACACAGAAATACAAATTGGTGGTACTGGTTAAGAGCCAGGTGACTGGCGTTCTCATCCTGGCTCTGCCACCTATAAGCTGTGTGAGGTTACTTAACTTCTCTGTGCCTTTGTTTCCTCGGCCACGTAATGGTTGATCCAGAATCTTCATGAGGTTGTCTCGAGGATCAAATGAGGTAAGACATGAAGGCGCCTAGAATGGTGCCTGGCACACCGTATGCACCATGGGAGGATTTGTTACAATTTTTTTTTTCACTGTAAGAGAAAGAAAAGGAGACCTGGGGGAACAGCTAGCCTGCTGCCACGCACGCCCTTCTTGTGATATCTGAACAAAATCGGGATGCTGTCAAGAGGGTGAGGTCACAGCTCCTATTATTGTCTTTGCTAGTTGAAGGGTGTTCCCAGGTTTACGTCACTTGGTACTCACAGTAACCTTCTGAGGATGGGTGATATTGTAATCCCCATTTCACAGGTGAGGAAATTGAGGCCCAGAAAGGTACAGAGTGGCCCAGGATCCCAAGCTGCTTAGCCTTGAACCCAGACCACGTGGCTCCAGAGTGCCACCCTGTGCTGCCTTTCCTGAGTGTTCCTGGTGCCGTCTGTGCTGACGAAAGCAAGCTGACATTCTCAACGACACCAGCACCAGCATCTCCAGAGACAGGAGGGAAGGGGGCTCTCCAGCATGGCAGGGATGGCCTGATTCCTGTGCGCCCACCCCTTGGGCACCTTTGAGATGAAGAGTCTGGGTGCCTGGCTTCCAGTCTGGGCTCTGGGGCTTTCTGGCATATGACAGCGTCTTTGTGCATCAGCATCCTCACCCTTAAAGCGATAGCTACCTCAGAGCTCAGTTCTCAGGATCAAGTGTGTTACTTCCCCACGTCAAGCACTTGGATGCTGTCAAGTACATAGCAAGCAACCAGTTGTTAGCAGCTCTTGTCGCTGGCCTTGTGCTTGTGCTCATTCCCTGCTGGTGCCTCGTCCTCAGGGCTGCGCTCGGCCGTCGGGGCCCTGGCCCTCGCATGCGTTTCCCCATAGCCCAGAGGAGAGAAGAACCCAAAGATCTAACTGGGAGACGACAAAGACAAAGGGAACAGGCAACTGAGTCAGTACCCCTCCCCCATATTTTATTATGGAAAACTTCAGACCTATAGAACGTTTAAAGACTTGTACAACGGCCAGCAAACTACGGTCCATGGACCGAATTCAGCCCGTGGCCTGCTTTTGCAAATGCAGTTTTGTTGGAACACAGCCCTCCCCATTTGGTTGCATATGTGTCTGGATCTGTGGCTGCTTTTGTGCCAGTGCACAGTTGAGTAGTTAGGACAGAGACTCTGGCCCAAGATGCTGAAAATATATACTTGCTGGCAATTTACAGGGAAGGTTTATATTTACCGCCTGTATTCATTCACTGTTAGTGTTCCCCATCTTTCGGTTATGTTTCTGTAGGTGTTTTATTTTTTGTCTAAATAAGATGCAGGCCTCATAATACTTAATCTTGAGGTTCGTTGCTGCCAGAGAGGTGAGTGTTTGGACCACGTTAAACCCCAAAACCCAGTGACGTATGAGAAACGTGGATGCATTTTTCTGAAAGGGGAGGCCGCCATAGCATTTCCTCAGAGTCACATTATTGTCTGTGACCTCAGGGAGTTTTAAACCCCGGGACCAGGGAACTGATGTAGGATCTTTGGGAAGAGAACTGGCTGAGGGGGCCCCGTCCCTTCTTCTGCCTCTTCTTCCGGGAAGAGGATGCCTTGTCTGTGTCCGGCAGTGGCTTACTCACAGGGGTGTTCCCCCCCACTCCCACGCGCATGACCTCACTTCATTCTGCCGCAGCCCTGTGAGCCGGGAGGAGAGGCCGCGTTAGTGAGCTGGAGAAACGAGGGTTTCCATTCCCAGTGGCCCGTGCCATCGGAGCAGCTGGGTGCCAGCTCTCTCAGTGCTCGCTTCGGCTTGTGTCTGCCCCTCTGAGCCTGTCTCTGCAGTCATGAAAGGGGTGTTGGATGCCAACCTCCCGAGGCGTGAGAGGATCGAGAGAGGTCCTGACACCTAAGTGCTCCATGTGAGAGACCTGTCCTGTGTTAGCCAAACATGTTAGAGTTCTAGGTGCCACAACAAATCACCGCTCATTTGGTGGCTTAATGCAACAAAAACTATCCTCACAGTTCTGGAGGCCAGAAATTTGAAATAAGGTGTCAGCAGGGTTGCTTCCTTCTGGAGGCTCTGAAGATTACTTTCATGCCTCTCTCGTAGCTTGTGGTGGCTGCTGGCAATTCTTGACGCTCCTTAGCTTGTGGATACATCCGCTCGATCTCTCCCTCCGTCTTCACGTGGCCTTCTGCTCTGTGTGGCCCCGTGTCTTCTCCTTTTCTGTCTCATCAGGACACAGTCATTAGCTGTGTAGAGAACACTTGCTCTCCTTTGTGTCTCCTTGACTCTCACATGACTACCACACTCCTTACTTCTGCCACCACGCGTGAAGTGTTTCCCCAGGCCAAGCAGTTCTCTGCAATACCAGCTGGGTGTCTTACAGTTCAGTTCAGTTGTAACGCTCAGCAGAGTCCATGCCAACCCCGCAGATGAAGGGCTCTGTCCCCCAAGACCACCCCCCACTTCAGACGCCTGTCGCAAGTAATAGGTCCCCACATTACCCACAGCTTCTCTCAGACTTGGCTACAAATTGAGGTTCCCATTACCCTGTCCTTGGATTTGATGATTTTTCAGAACAGCTCACAGAACTCAGGGAAACACTTATATTTTATCAGCTTATTACCTAATAAAAGATATGATAAAGGATTTATTTTTTTAAAAGATTTTATTTATTTGAGACAGAGAGAGAGAGACAGAGAGAGAGAGCATGAGAGGGGGGAGGGTCAGAGGGAGAAGCAGACTCCCCGCTGAGCAGGTAGTCCGATGTGGGACTCGATCCCAGGACTCCAGGATCATGACCTGAGCCGAAGGCAGTCGCTTAACCAACTGAGCCACCCAGGCGCCCTGATAAAGGATTTAGATGAACACGCACATGAAGAGCTGCATAGGGTGAGGTCTGGAAGGGTCGTGCGTACAGGAGCTTCTGTTCCTCTTCAATTGGGGTGTGCCACCCTCTTGGTATATGGATGTTTTCACCAACCTGGAAGCTCCCCAAGCTCTGTATTTTGAGGATTTTTGTGAAAGCTTCATCATGCAGGCATGGTTGATCATTAAGTCCATTTCCAGCTGCTCTCCCAGTGATGAGGGTAGGGCTGAAAGTTTCAAGCTTCTGCCTATGGCTTGGTCTTTCTGGTGACCAGTCCCCATCCAGGAGCGCACCAAGACATGCTTCATTAGAACAAAAGACATTGCTGTCACTGAGGAAATTCCAAAGAACTCTGTGCAGGAACCAGGAGCAGAGACCAGTAAACATATCTTCTGTTTCACTGTTTCACAAGGACTCCCCCCTAAATTTGGAATGATTTCATCCTGAGATGCTGACTTAATTACATCTGCAAAGTCCCTGTTTTCACATTCTTGAGTACTGGGGGTTAGGACTCGAGCATATCTTCTGGGGGCCGCTGTTCAACCCCTTACGCTAGTGCTGTTACTACTGCTAAAGGTACTCCTGTTTATACAGCACTGTTAATCATGTTTTATATTAGCTGGTGGTCCTGGGTTTCAGTCCCTGCCCCACAGCATCTGAACCGTGTGACCCTTAGAAGGGACTTTTGTTCCCTAAGCCTGTTTCCTCCTATGTAGAACGAGGCTTATAACAGCTCTGACCTCCGGGTTGTCGTGAGAGCCTGTGCATGTGAGGGCCCAGCCTAGGACCCGGCACAGAGCAAATGTGCTGGAACGTGGCCGCCCCTGTTGGAGCATGTCAGGTGGTGCTGAGTGCAGGAGGGAACCAAAGCAGAGGAGGAGGGCCGGGCATGTGGGGACACAGTGTGCAGCTTTAGAGAGTGGTCCTGGAAAGCACCACCGAGTGGGTGTCTGCTCAGTAAGACTCAGTGGGTGCTTTTGGTGAGGCTGCTGCTACCATTGTAATTTACTGACTCAGTCATTTGGTAGGTGTGTGCCACATCCTTACACACATTAGGCTTCCAGAGGCTGCCTGGGTCTGGAGCTGTCACACGCCCCTAAGTCTGGGCATGCTAACATTCTCCCCTGCTTTTCTCGTTCTCTCATTAGCTTCGTCTCAACAGCATCAAGAAACTGTCCACCATCGCCCTGGCCCTTGGGGTGGAAAGGACCCGCAGCGAGCTCCTGCCCTTCCTGACAGGTGAGGTGGTAGACTCCTGGGGCCCAGGCGGAGTGGGGACTGTCCCGGGGTGGGGGTGGGGGGGTTGGTTCCTGTTAGGTAAGAGAGGCCTCGTTAGGGATGTAACAGACTGTGAGGGTCTGCTCTGTGCTGGGCACGGTGGGGTGGAGGCAGGATTGGTGAACGGGGTCTGGAGGCAGATGGAGCCAGGTTTGAATCACAGCACTAACAGTTAAAAGCTGGTATCTCGAGGTGAGTCATTAAACCTAACTGTCCCTTAGAGTTTTTATGTATAAAGTGCAGATTAAACACACATGTGCTATAACATTGATGTGAGCATTACATAACAGTAAGAATAATTGCTGACATTTATCCCCCGCCTGCCATGTGCCAGGCAGTGCTCCAAACCCTGTCTTGTGAGCATTGGGTTAGTTCATGGTCCTCAGGATGGGGGCCTGTGCTCAGTAAGTACACATCAGCATTGTTCCCCATTGTTAATCTCACAGCAGCTCCTTAAGGTAGGGAAGACTGCTGCCCCCATTTTATAGGTGAGGACGCTGAGGTTGAAGAGGTGAAGGAGTACATTTGCCTGAGACAGCTAAGTGGTGACCCACAGGGGTTATTGATCTAGTCATGCTGGCTGCAGACTTAACAGCACTGCTTAATGACTCAGGGTCCTGGCGACCTGGGTTCAAATCCAAGCCCCACCACTTTCTAGCTGTGTGACCATGGGCAAGGTATTTCACATCTGCCTGCCTCTGATTCTTCGTGTGTGAAGTGGGCCTAATCGTATAACCTGATACCACGATTAAATAAGATGCCATGTGAAGTGCTTGTACCGGCTGTGCTCAGCACATGGGAAAAGCTGCTAAGTGTTAGCGGTTAGACGGGCCCACTCACCTCCTATCGGAAGATGCGTACAGAGCACTCAGCACAGTGTCTGACGCACACCGGACCGCCAGTTAGAGGTAAATCCTCTGTTCCCACTATTCTTACTACTACTTTGTACTAATTGAAATTGCAACTGAAGGCTCAGAGTCACTGTGAAACTCCTACCTGATCCTTTAATTTGGGCTTAGTGGTGATGCCGGGGAGGAAGGGAGCGGAGATGATTATTCCTTCTTTTGACATGTGGGGCATGAAGGCCTATAGAGACACAGGGATCGCCCACGGTGACAACGGCTAATGACTGAGGAGCACAGGTTTATCTGCCTGGGAACACCACATGAGGAGCAGGTATCCATGTGACACTGAGCAGGTGACCTGAACCGAGTGGCTTCCACTGGTGAACTGTGGGAAGACTTAAAAGCTCTTGAGTGCTGAGACAGGGCAGCTGGGCCACAAGGAGTGTGATGTGTGGCACGGTGTTGTAATAAAGTGGGTAAAGGGGGTGCCTGGGTGGCTCATTTGGTTGTGTCTGCCTTTGGCTCAGGTCTTGATCCTGGGATTGAGCCCCACCTTGGGCTCCCTGCTTAGCGGGGAGCCTGCTTCTCCCTCCGGTGTCCATCCTTCAACCCCCCTGCTCATGTGCACTCTCTCTCAAAAAAATAAAAGATTAAAGGAAAATAAAGTGGGTAAAATAGTGGGACCTGGGTTTGAATCCAGCTGTGCCACCAGCCTGCTGGCAAACCTGGGTAAGCTACTCCGTTTCCCCTAGCCTCAACTCCCTTACTGCCAAGGGGTAGGAGGGGTACCTAACTCAAAGGGCTGTTGAGGATTAAGTGCTCCATGCGGAGCTGAGTCTGTAGAAAATGCTCGGGAAGTGCTGGTCCCTTTATGGTGAGGTAGTCGGGAAGGCAGCCTGGGGGAGGGGACTGGCAGGAGTAAACAGCAAATGGAGGCAGGATTGAACGTGGTGGTTGGATGCAGGGAGAGGCACAGGGGCAGGTGGGGGGGGGGGGGGGGTTTTGCCAGTTCTGAGTGCCAGGCGGCAGTCTGGGATTAATCCTATAGGTGAAGGTAGGCAGCCATTGTAGATAGGTTCTGGAGGGTGGGCGGATGAGATGCAGAAAATAAACCTGTGCACACAGCATTGTATTGGGGGGTGGGGTGGGCGGGTATGGGCAAGAAAACAGCAGAGGCAGTCGACTTGGGGTCAGTGGCTGAGAGCAAAGACCCTGGGATTGGGCCACCTGGTTCAGTCCCAGCCAGGACATGCTTCATTTCCTCTGTAAAATGGGAATCATCATCTAATATATGGGCTGTGGTTAAGATTCAGTGAATTTTTTTTTAAAGATTTATTTGACATAGGTGGAGAGAGTGAGCACAAGGAGGGGTGGTGGCAGGCAGAGGGAAAAGCAGGCTCCCCGCTGAGCAGGGAGCCCGATACAGGACTTGATCCCAGGACCCCGGGATCATGACCTGAGCTGAAGGCAGATGCTTAACCCAACTGAGCCACCCAGGCGCCCCCAAATTCAGTGAATCTAACATATGTGTCCTCTTTATTTCATCATAGAGCCACATGTGACATCACAGTAATGCAAGTGAGAGGAACTGTAGAAGCCATGAGATGGAAGAGGAGTCAGGCATTCAAGACACATTTCTTTGGGGTGCTTTCGTCAAGTGGTGGCAGATTTTCTTTCCTTCGGGCTTCACCCTTTGCAAAATGTTCAAAATAGCAAATGGTAGATACACTGCGTCTTTCAGAAAAGGTGATACTGTTTCAGAACAAGCTGAAAGCCCTCTCTGAGCTCACACTTACAGAACAGTCACAGCCAGTGTGGAGGGGAGAATTACCACGTGATGCCCCACTATGTTAGAAACAGGTGTTGGTAGTTTTTTGGCCATAGTGAGATGTGGATGGGTTCCAGGGTGAGTGAGGTCACCTGTGTGTGCCGGTGGCTGAAAAGTCACCTGCCATTTAAAGACTTATACCCAGGCAAACACCATTGAAAAGTATCCTCAGAAATCCCAGATTTGCCTTAAACCCACCACGTGGTTTTGTTGGGAAGGTGTACGAATGCAGGCTCCCTGAGCAGAGGAGAGTGGCTTGCTCCTGCCTTTTGTCGCATTCATGGCATTTCTTCAAGTTCAGGACAGAGTCTTTTCTGTTTAAAAGATCTGGGTTCATTTAAGCTAATACACAGTACAGTTAAAAAATACTTTGAAGTAGGCCATTTGTAGGCATATTTCATAAATATCTAATGCACACCACTGTGGGCTGTGAGATGGAGAGCAAATCAAAGTTCCTGTCTTCATGGAGCTTCTGTTCCAATCAGGGGAATAAGTAGTGATGAAGCCAGAGAGACACAAAGTGGAAATAAGGGTAAGGGATATTCCAGTGGTGATCAGGTCTTCCTGGGGGTGTGGCCTGGATGGCACCTACCGTGTAGGACTTTGGGGAAAGAATGTTCCAGGTACAGGAAGAGGCAGGCGTGGGATGGGCACAGTGTTGGAGGGAAGATATGAGTTGGAGACCGGTACAGTGGCCACATCACGTGGGATCCTGGTATATGGAGTCAGGATTTTAATTCATGTTCCTTAGAAACCATTGGAAGATGGAGGTAGGGGAGTGTCATGATTTAAAGCATCACTCAGGATTCTGGAAGGAGGCCGGGTGGTTTGGGGGCCAGGGCAGAAGCAGAAAAATCAGTTAGGAAGCAGTTGTAGTCACCCAGCAAGAGAAGGTGGTCATCAGAGTGACACTGAGGTGGACGATGGACAGGTCTGCGTCGGAGGGGCGGGGAGGAGGCAGCCCTAAGCCTCTGAGACCAGGACGATGGGGAGGCTGGGAAGGCGCTTCTGTGGGGACGGGGACCATGGAAACGGGAGGTGCTGGCAGGTTCCACGTGTTCGGCTTTCAGGAACACGGCTGGCCCAGAGAGTCTGGACTGAGGACTGAGTTGAATACGAATTGAGGCCATGGATATGTACAAGGTCTCCGGGAGATAGAGAAAATGGGGAGGTTTTTGTGTACGGAGGTTAACTGTGTACGGAGAGGGCCAGGGAAACTGAGGCTGGGAAGGACCCAAAGGCCTGGTGGGCCCGGAGCCACACTGGCCTGCGTTCTCTGAAGCACTGCCTCGGGCCAGACCCCATGCTGAGCTCTTCACAGAAAGACGTCACTTCACTTTGGTCTCACACAGCTCTGTTGGGATGTGGGCTGAGAAAACGGGCTCAGAGGTGAAGTGAATGGCCACACAGCCAGCCAGCGGTAGAGCAGAGAACCCACCACAAGGTGGGGAGGGTGAGGACAGCCCCATGAGCAGAGAGGGGGTGAGGAAGTGACCCAGAGCGTGGACCTACCACTTGTCACACCCCATCGGCCAGAGTAGGGTTCCTTGGCCTGCCGGCTGCAAGGGAGCCTGGAGATGTCTGGCTGGGTTGCCGAATGCTTGGCCTAATCTCAGCAAGTTGAGATGCTAGGATAGATGCCAGGGATGTTAGCATCTTCTGCCACAGAGGTCAGCAGTTCCTACTGGAGCCATCTTCTGCCACACAGGTCAGCCGCTGAGAAAGGCCTTTGGTTTGAGCATTAGGACACAGCAGCTCTACCTATACACAGTCATCCGTTCTTCCAGCAAATCTGGACTGAGCTCCTGCTGTGCTCATCTCTGGCAGAAACGGGGGTACAGAGAGGAGCCAGTCCTGGACTCCTAAGGACTCTGATAAAAGTGGCTTGGGGTTGAGGGGAGCATAGAGAAGGGACGTGCCCTGGTCTGGTCAGGAAACCTGAACTGAATCTTGAAGGATGGAGAAGAATTTCTCAGGCTGAAGAGAAAGATTAGTTCTTGGCAGAGAAGGCAGTGCTGAGGGTAAAAGCTGGACCAAAGCGAAAAGCCTCCATTTACCAGGATCTGTGCTCATGTGCATGGTCTTGTTTGCTCCTCGCTGTAATTCCCGCTGAGATGTACGTTAGCACCCTTTTACAGGTGCAGAAATGGGTTCACAGACTGGTCTCACTCACCCAGTGTCCCTCACCTAGTAAAGGGCAGAAGAGGGACTGTGGTGCTCTGTCCCCTGACCCAAGCCTGCACCTTGGTCTCTGCACCAGTCAGGGTGGAGGGTGGAGAGACTGAGGGCTGACAGGAGGAGGAAGCAGAATGGAGCCCGCTTGTTCCCAGCTTGGGTCACTCAGGGGTTGGGGTCAGACTCGGCGTGGGACTGTAACAGAGTCTGTCTTGGTTCCACAGACACCATCTACGATGAGGATGAGGTCCTCTTGGCCCTGGCAGAACAGCTGGGAACCTTCACTACACTGGTGGGAGGCCCCGAGTACGTGCATTGCCTGCTGGTGAGTCTGGAGGCAGGGAGGTCCCCTGCCCACCCCTTGGGGGTCAGACCCAGGAGCAGGATGGGGCTCACGTTCTAGGAACAGGCAAGCCTTGGACATTCCCTTTAATCCAGCAGATTAGTAGTGGCGTTTCATATAGCAATACCGAAAATACACTTGTTTATCTTCCTGTTAGCTGGGCACTTGGCCCAACATAGAGGGCTTTGGGCTTGGAGGCAGTCTGAGTTCTATCACTTTTTTACTGTGTGACTTGTAAGAGTTACTTAACCTCTCTGTGTTATACTTTCCTCATCCATAAAATGGGAGTCATTAAAATGTGTCTTTTTAATTGATTTAAGCCCTTGGCGTGGTACTTGGCACATGGTAAATACTGTCAGGTGTTAGCTGCCAGTGTCATTATGCCATACCGTATGAGGTCATGTCCACCCTTTGGGGTAGGGACGTTTCCCTTTTTGTAGATGAGCCTCTGGGCACACTGAGGGGTTAAGCACCTTGGCCAAGGCCTCACAGGTAGTAAGTAGCAGAGCTGGGATTCCAGGTGCCTGCCTGTGCGCCCCTGTGCTTGGTGACGGCTAGGGACACAGAGATGGGTCAGATACTAATAGTAACTGCTGTTTGTGAGAAGAGCACGGGGGACTCCATTGTCACCAGGAAAAGACTGGTCCTGCCATCCGGGAAGGAGGAGCCTCAGGGGTTTCCGAGTGCCTTGGTTTTCGTTGTTCCTCAGAGCCCCAGGTCACTGCTCCTGCCTGCTCTCCCCCTGCCACCAATAATCCTGTACGTCATGCTTCTGAAGACACAGTTTTATATTTGGCATCTGCACTTAATGATGTCTTAATTTTTATTAGTAGGCTTCTTCCTTTTAGTGGTGTATAAAATAATGGCACATCTTAAAATTGGGGGGATTTGGGGTTTGAACAGATATTTCTTCTAAACAGTGTTATTTCTGAAGAAATTAGGTAATTGTCATTAAATATTGGTCTCAGCTTTCATCTGTGTGTACGTGTATAATTTATGTGTATGTACACACAGACAGTTGTATGCCAATGAGATCATTTCCTACATTTTACACAGATTAGGGCTGCTTAACACAAACATGATGAGGTCTGGGGGCCAGCCTGAAAAAGGGGTCCCTTGAGCTCCATGGAACTTTCTGCAAGCCCTGGAATTTATCAGTTTTACCGAGGAGGGAATTTGTACCTTTCAGCAGCATCTCAGAGGACTTGGGAGCAGAAAATACGGATCCCATAGCTTCAGCAAGGGGCCTCAAGGCCCTCAGATGGTGTAGGACTCAGGCTTGCTGGGGAGCAGGACTGGAACCCTGGAGTCCTTGCCTTACCAGGTCATGGTCATCCCACACATATATTGGGGAAGAGTCACATGTCCTCTGGGACCAGTGTTCATCCTGAGGACCCTGGGCCAGGGAGCACTGGTAACCCAGAGGCCAGTCAGGCCCGAATGCTGGTGCTCCTTGGTTCCTGCAGGTGCCTTCTGCACAGTCACCTGTCATGGCCCCTAGGGCCCTAGCAGAAGCACACTGGTGCTAGCCCCGGTTCACAGATGAGGGAGGAAACTGAGGCTTGAGGTCTGGTTTAGGTGGACTGCCTGAGCTGGGAAGAGACAGAGTCAGGGTTCAAACCCAGGCTCCTGTCCCTTAATCAGTGCCACTCCTCTCTCTTACGCCCCCCACCCCCCGCCAAGGGCTCTCAGTTGCTCCACAGGCTGATTAGAGCTGGACAGGAGGGAGGCTGGGGGACCTTAGAACCTGGAGGAGGCACCTGACCTGTTTCGGATGGGAAGGGGGAGCTGTCAGCGAAGGCCTCCTGGAGGAGGTAGCAGTGGATCTGGATTTTGACAAAGAGAAATGGAAAATGGCTATGGTGCAATTTGTTCATTCCACGAACATGAGTACCAAGTATGGGCTTGGGAACCCAGAGGTGTGTCAGAGCCCATCCAGCCCTCGTTTCTCTGGAGAGGTGAAATGGAATTAATTTCACAGGGACCCGTGTAGCTACAGCACAACGATTGATTCTGTATCTACAACTCTTAACCCTTTTTGGAATCCTGGGTCGCTTTGAAAATCTGATGAAAACTCTAGAGCCTCTCCTAAAAGTACAGTGATTTTAGGAGGTTCACACCCCTCCTCCGCATGTTCTCTGGGTTTGAGAACTCTGCCCTCTCTCCTTCATAGAGGACCCACAGCACGACTTTTCATTGTGGGAAAGCATCCCTTGGAGTTTCCTAAACATGCACCTTCCTGGGCCCCACCCCGGAGGGTCTGATTCTGTTGGTCTGTGCTGAGTGAGCTAGGCCTCCTGGGTGATCACAGACCTCACTGTGCGAACCACCGCCTGCCCAACCCACTAGGGCCGGCACCCTGGCGTGACATAAGTACTACTTGGCCTTGGTCCCCAGGCCTTCGTTATAACTGGGTACTCTCTGAATGGAACAGGTAAATGGCAAATACTGATTGCGTACCCACCTCCCATGTGCCGGCGTGGGAAGCAGGAAGACCAGGAACAGAGAGAAATCCAGTCCCTTCAGTAGCCCAGTGAGACCACCTTCAGCCGCACTCCTATGAGACAGAGCCAGAAACCCTGCGATAGCATGGCTTTAGGACAGAGGCCACACACTGGCGGCCCCCAGGCTGGCATAGTGTCACATTTTCCTCTTGAATCACTGCCAATCTTTAGTAAATTTTTTTGTTTATATTTATTGTAGTTAAATATACAAACAACCATTTTTAAGGGTACGGTTTTGTGGCATTAAGTATTTTCACATTGTGGTGCAGCCACCACCACCGTCTGTCATCTTCCCCCATTAACGAGTAACTCTCCATATCCCCTCCCCCCTGCCCCCTGGGGCCCACCATTCCACTCACCTGGTTACTCTAGGGTCTTCATATAAAGGAATCCTACAACGTGTGGCCTTCTCTGATTGCCTTATTTCACTCAGCATAATGTCTTCAGTGTTCATCCATGGTGTAGCAAATGTGTTAAATGAGATTTTTGACATACACACACCTGGCCCCTTTGGCTGCTTTTGGAAAACTGATTGCTTTTACCAGCTTTGTTTTCCTGGGGTGACAGTTGATGGAGCTGGGAAGCAGCTGTCCTTCCTAGGCTCCATGCCACAGTTTCTGCCTCTTTCTGTTGTCCCCACCTGCCACCTTTGCTCCTTGCTCCTTGCTCCACTCTCTTGCCTGCTTGGGCTCTGGAGGCATTTCCATGTACGATTTCTTCCTGCCTTCTACACCTATCAGGCCACACTGGACTTCAGACCGCAGATCTCCACACCTTTATTTGAACAGACTAGAATCACTTACGCCTCCCTTTATTCAGTCAGTAATTGCTGAGTTCCCGCCCTGTCCAAGGAGCTCTGCTGGGCTCTGGGGACATGTGATGAACCAGTCAGATGTCCCTAAAGGAGCACGACCCCTCCAGGCCTGCAGTCCCAAGCCTCAGGTTTGCCAGTCACGTGAGCTCCTGGGGCAGTCCCCTATCAGAAACCACAGGCGTGCTTTTAACCCTTTGCAAGCTCGGGAACCAGGTGGTCTGGTTTGGATCCTGTCTTGTAGCTAGCACTAGCTTGGGCAAGTTAATTTAATTTGCCTGCCTCAGTTTCCTCTTCTGTAAAATGAAGACCATCACGGGACCTGCTTCATAGAGTCAATATTGTCCCCTGTTCTCTTCCACCCCCCCCCCCCAGTCCCAGGTTGTGTGACACAGTGACCCTGCTTAGGACACCCAGCAGATAGATGTTCCAGTCAGTATCCATGATCATCCATGCGCTGCGAGGAGTCAAGGACAGCTGTGGCCCTCTGCTCGGAAAGTGATAGTGGAATTGTGAGGATCATGGCCCTCAATGAAGCTCCTTCAAGGGCCTCTATGTGAGGCTCTTTGTTAGGGCTCTTCAGGAAGGCCTGCTGGTGGAGAGGTCAAAGAAGGTTTCTTTGAGGAGATGAGCCACGAGGGGAATGGGGTAGGGCTTGAGGCTGGGGCGGTGAGGAGGGGACCTGCTGTGACCTTGTGCTCTGTCCTGCAGCCACCCCTGGAGTCGCTGGCCACAGTGGAAGAGACGGTGGTGCGGGATAAGGCGGTGGAGTCCTTGCGGGCCATCTCACATGAGCACTCACCCTCTGACCTCGAGGCCCACTTCGTGCCGCTGGTGAAGCGGTTGGCGGGCGGCGACTGGTTTACCTCCCGCACCTCAGCTTGTGGCCTCTTCTCTGTCTGCTACCCCCGCGTGTCCAGCGCCGTCAAGGCAGAACTTCGACAGTGAGTCCCAGCCTTCCCTCAGCTTGGACCCCTTCTCTCAGGCTTAGCCCCCACTCCTCCCCTCCCCCACCCCTCAGAGAGCAGCGTCCCTAGGCCTGGTCCAGACACGGCCTCTTGCTCATTTAGGAAATGGAGAAATGATAGCTTTTTCTCCCATTGAGCATCGTGAGGATTTACAAGAATGACCACATACAAGATGCTGGGAACACAGGATCTGGCTCATAAAAGCACCTGTGAAGTGGGTGCCATTTCAGGCCTGCCCCCGATCCAGAACCCTCACAGATATACTGGCTCAGTTTGGCCTTCTCCTCCGCCCTCCTCCCGTTAGGCTTGATACTCCAGAGAATTCCTTGTATGTAAGACTCTTCTCCAGGAACAGTGAATGAAAATGCTTCTAATTGGATTAAAATTTCCCGTTAGTATGTGTTTCTTCCCCTCCCTCTGGACTTCGTTCACTCACCAACTGCACAGACTCTTGAGCAGCAAGCCCAGGCCCTGAGTTCTTACACGTGACAGAATACTGCTTTACAGCTGCCCACGTGTGCTTGGAGGTCTGTGTGCATGTGTGCATCCCCCACACTCCTGAAAAGTAAAACCTTTGAGGGGCCCCCGGACAGCATCTTAGCCCAACAACTTTATATGGTCAGAATGATACAGCCAGTACCTGCTGTTCACTAGGACTTAGTATGTGCAGATCGGCTGCTCTGCTTTCACACACATTATCTCATGTAAACCTCATCATGACCTTGTGCGGTGGGAACTATCACCATGAGCTCCATTTTTTTTTTTTTGACACTGGCTGAAATACAACGTTTTATTACTTTTATGTACAGAAAATTCAACAGCGTCCACTCAGCCCAGTTTGGTGGCCAGTTCTTTAGCCTTTGCCTTTTCCAGCTTGGCGATGCGAGCCACAGACTTCGGGCCCAGGACGTTGCCTCCCCAGTGGCGGCAGATGTCGTCATATCTGTCATTGTAGTTGGTCCTGATGGCCTCCACCAGCTTTGCCAGGGCTCCTTTGCCTTCCGAGTTGACCTGTGTGAAGGCGACAGTGGTGCACGTCTTCCTGTGGACCGGACGGCCCAGCCTGGCCTTCCCCTTGATAATACCATGAGCTCCATTTTATAGGCCTGGGAAGACGCGGGGGCTCATCGCTTGTCCGGGGTCACTCAGGCAAAGCCAGGACTTGGCGTGACTGCAGTCTGCTTTCTCCTCCCTTCGTCTGCGTGCTGCTGTGGGATCCTAGGCTTTCCTCCCCCTGAGTCCCACTTCCACCCCCCAGGTACTTCCGGAACCTGTGCTCAGATGACACCCCCATGGTGCGGCGGGCCGCAGCCTCCAAGCTGGGGGAGTTCGCCAAGGTGCTGGAGCTGGACAATGTCAAGAGTGAGATCATCCCCATGTTCTCCAACCTGGCCTCTGACGAGCAGGTGGGCTCTGCTCCCCAACCCCCTACTCCACCTAGCAGATCCTGTGTCTAAAAGGGACTCCCAAAGCTGACAGGTCTCTGTGGCCCTCACCTTGCTCTGACCCTCTCCCCAGGACTCGGTGCGGCTGCTGGCGGTGGAGGCATGTGTGAACATCGCCCAGCTACTACCCCAGGAGGACCTGGAGGCCCTGGTGATGCCCACTCTGCGCCAGGCTGCTGAGGACAAGTCCTGGCGCGTCCGATACATGGTGGCTGACAAGTTCACAGAGGTGGGGACTGTTCACAACTCACAGATGGGGAAACTGAGGCCCTCAGAGGGGTAGGGATGGGGCCACACATAGAAGCTGGGTTTTTAGTTATATCCAACAAATTATTGGGTGTTTGAGGAGTAAGATCTCTGATCATCTGGCTGGGTCTCACTTCATATTGCCAACCCGGGTTGAGTAATAGTCGCAACTAAGTGCTGTGTTGGGAAGGATTCTGAAGCCACGTTCAGGTTCTGTGGAGAGCCCCAGAGTAGAGAAGGGTAGTATGTGTGTGCTCTTGGCCTAATCAAACTCTTCCCTTTTACAAAAGAGAGGGCATAGCCTGTATTAGTTTTGGGGGCTGCCATGACAAAGTACCACAGACTGGAGGGTACTTGATTCCCTCACTGTTCTGGAGATTATTCCAGGACTTTTTTTTTTTTTAAGATTTTATTTACTTTGTTGAGTGAGAGAGGAGGAGCAGAGAGGGACAAGTAGACTCCTCACTGAGCACAGGGCCCACCGGGGGGCTTGATCCCAGGACCCTGAGATCATGAGCTGAGCCAAAATCAGAAGTCCGGCACTTAACTGACTGAGCCACCCAAGCGCCCCTCCGAGACTTCTTTTCTTGGCTTGTAGATGGTCTTTTCCCGTATCTTCACATGGTCTCCCCTTTGTGCATGCCTGTGTCCTAATCTCCCCCTCTTATAAGGATTCCAGTCATTTTGGACTAGGGCCACCTTAAATTACCTCTTAAAACCCTGTCTTCAAATACAGTCACTTTCTGAGGTACTGAGGGGTTAGGGCCTGCAACATAGGAATTTTGGAGGCTCAGTAGTTCAGGCCATAGCACAGCTCAAAACTGGTCAGAATGACACCACCGGGCAGGCGGAACAAGGAAAAGATCCCAGGTCTCTGACATCCTAGGACAGGGCTCTTTCCACAGAGACTCAAGTTTGCTTATCCCACCATCATGTTTGTTGAGCATCAGCTCTTTTTGTGGGTGCTGGGGATCCAGTGAATTCATATTCCCAGCCTCCCCAAGGAGCAGGCAGCCTGAAGGGGAGGGTCCACTGAGATAGAGGGAAACTGTCAGCCCCAAAGCCGACAGACCTGTGTGGGACATTGAGAAGAGGAGGTGGGTGCTGCAGCTGGTTCTAGAAGATGAGTGGGTGAGAGCTGGGGTAGGATTGTGTTCCAGCAAAAGGACAGCATGTGCATGGAGCCCTGGGAGTCCAGAACCAATGCAAGTAAGAACATTCAGGACTTGCTCTTGGGGGCCCCACGTGAGAGAAAGCTGGAGAGAAGCACAGGGTTCCAGCCTTGGGTGCCCTCCCACCCCGTGGCTCCCTGTTCCTGTGAGTGTGCTTATTTCCATGATGTTTGCTGGAAGGACTTGGAGCCTCAGGATAACATTTCCTGGACCATCCATGTTCCCCGTGAAAATGTTAGCACAGGGCGGCTGCACCCCGGAGGCTCAGCACCATGGTTAAAGACGATTCTTCCATCCTCGGCTTTTGGACAGCATGAACTGGATCACACTGGGTTTTAGGTGAAAGCTCAGTGAAGGCAGGGATTTTGGAGTTAAGCAGTGCGCAGTGCCCAGGAGACACTCAGGAGGTGTCTTGTTTGTCTGAGGGGCAGCATTTGTCCCAGGTAACATTGGGCCCTTCAGAGTTTTTGTTTGTTGCCTTCTTAGTCATGAGCTGTCCTGCTTCCTGCTAGGTCTTCAGGAGCCAGCTTTGCAGCAGAACACAGGTGCCTTCCCTGGCATGCCTTCTTCCCCCTCAGTCTTGATGCATTTCATTTCGTTACAAGAGTAATACAGGGTCGGGTAACCAATTTGAAAAATACAGAAGAATATAAATTAAAATTAATATTTAACTAAATAAAAAGGAAGAGCCATATCACTAGAATGTTTTTGGATCAGATAACAGAAAACCCTACCCCAAATAGCTTGAGCAGTAAGGAGACCTGTTGTGATTTTTAATGCAGACAACAACACTGTGCGGTAGGTACTCTCATGGCCCTCATTTTGCTTTTGAGGAAACAGGCTCAGAGAAGCTTGGAGACTTGCCTGGGCTCAGCCCGTGGTGCTGGGAGTAGGTCTCAGCAGTGATTCCAAGGGCCGCATTCTTCTCGCCCCCAGTTCTGGTGCCTTTAACTTTGATTCTGGTCGCACTCACGCAGAGTCCTGCCCAGCCTTCTCACTCCCCCTGCTTTCTGTCTGCAGCTCCAGAAAGCAGTGGGGCCCGAGATCACCAAGACAGACCTGGTGCCCGCCTTCCAGAACCTGATGAAAGACTGTGAGGCCGAGGTGAGGGCCGCAGCCTCCCACAAGGTCAAAGGTTGGTGCTGGTAGCCAGAACACAGCAAACGGGAGGGTGTCTGAGGGGCCCGAGCCAGAACCGGGACATCAGGTCTCACCTTCCTCTGCCTCCCTTCCCTCTCCCACAGAATTCTGTGAAAATCTCTCAGCTGACTGTCGGGAGAATGTGATCATGACCCAGATCTTACCCTGCATCAAGGTAACAAGGAGTTTGGTGGGAGGAATAGGGCAGATCTTAGCCTGCTGAAGAGGAGGGGTGGACATTGGGCTTTATGGACATTCAGAAGCAAACAGTCCCCAGCCTTCTAGGACTGGGCGGTCTTGGGTTGGAAGCAGGTAGGGTCCCTGAGTGCAGGCAGAATCTGAGGTTTGGGGCTGAGCTTGGAGTGGAAGTGCTTCCCCTCCAAAGTTCCAAGAGCTTTGGCCTTAGGGTGGGGGCCTTCTAGGAGCAGGGCTCATGGAGCTCTAAGCAGGCGGACAGCTGAGAAGCTGCCTTGTACTCTTGTACCCTAAACCATCCCTGCTCCACGAGGGAGAAGGGCAGAAGCAGGCCAGGGCGCAGGCCTCGTAGGAGGCGGGAGTGTGCTTGGTCACTTGCTGCTGCAGGGGTCATCTTGACCCTGTGGCTCCACTTCCTTCTCCCTCCCAGGAGCTGGTGTCAGATGCCAACCAACATGTGAAGTCGGCCCTGGCCTCCGTCATCATGGGCCTCTCCCCGATCCTGGGCAAAGACAACACCATTGAGCACCTCTTGCCCCTCTTCCTGGCTCAGCTGAAGGATGAGGTAAGGGTACCGCAAAGGCTCGCGCTCTCGGTTGGCAGAGGTGACAGGTGGGTCAGCAACTTTCCCAGATTGGCCAGGAGTCTCCTAGAATCTTAACAGACACCCAGGTCCCGAATGAGTTGAATACTGGTGGGCACTGTGGACTGTGCATTCCCTCATTCACTTATTGGACAGCGTTTTGCATGCCCTTGCTCTGTGCTGGTTCTTCTTCTGGGTGTCAGGGATACCAAAAATACCCAAGACAGTTGTACTACTCAGAGAACTTCGGAGACTGACAGTAGAGAGAGCCGGATGGGCAATCCGATGATTCCATGATCACGTAGATGCTGTGACACATCCGTGTCTTTTAAAATTTAGGTAAAGGTGCTGTAGTGAAGACCCCAAAATACATTGGCTTACATAAGAGAATTAATTTTCTCACAATTCAGAGCTAGGTGGGCCTACGCTGCAGTTTAGCCCTGCTGATCTCCGCGCTCTCTGGGTCTGAGACAGCTGCTCTGGTTTTCACCACCCCCAGCCAGCATGGAGGCAGAAGGTATTAGGCAGCAGGAAGTGTGGTCCTCGTAAGGGCAAGACCCAAAAGAGAGCACCCATCAGTCTGTTCCCACCCCACACACCCCATTGGCCAGAGCCAGTCATGTGACCACATCGTGCTGTTCAGTTGGCCTGGAGCACAGAAGATGAATGTGTGCTGGGTGATGGCTGGACAGGTCGTGGGGTGACAGCCAAGGAAGGAGTTTGGACTTGAACCGAGCGGTGGGCAGTTGGAGGCACTGGAACAGATGTGGGTGTTATAAAGGAACCCTGAGGCTACTGTCAAAGAAGGAACGCAGTGGGGAGGCCAGCAGAGGTACAGGGAGACCAGACTGGTGGGAGAGAAAGTGTGGCTGCAGAGATACGGACAGGACCGTGTGGGGTGGGGCTGGTTTGCAGGCTCCCTGGTTCTTGTCATGGTGGTGACCAGGCAGATGGTGAGACAATTTGCTGGAGTGTGACTTCCATTCTGCCAAAGGCCTCAGTCTTCCTTCCTCCCTGCTCTCCCTACACCCCCCGCCCCCCAGCACACCCAGTACTAGGAAATCACGTCAGCTTGAGTCCCTGCCACTGCCCCCAGAATATCACGTTTTTAAATTCTGCTATAATGGGATAATCTCTCAGCCCCAGAATTATAGACAATGCGCCTTTTAAAGAGAAGCTTAGTAGTCTTACTTTTGGTCATTCATTTGTATCAGTTGTTATAATTTAAACCATAATTTTTGTAATGACTTAAATTTTATGACCCAAGTAAAGTGCTTCACATATGTTTTCTTTTATAAGCATGCTTTTTGTAGTTATAACTTCTTATAATTTATATTCACTTCTGATGCTTAAATGGGGACAGCTTTCCTGGTGAGAGTCCCTCGAATTGGATTTTGTGTCCTTTTAACACCTCACCAGGGTCTTGGGGAGCATTTTGCTTTCTGACATCGAGGAGAGATCCACTTTGAGCTTGAGTGTGAAGGTGAGCCCACACGTGCTAAAGCAGTGCTGGAGCCGGTTTCTGTGCCAGTTTCGCTGTTAGCAAGTGCTGCGTGGCGATCATACTCCCGCAGCCGTGGTCTGTCCCAGCGCAGCTTCTCTTTTTTTTTTTTTTTTTTTTAAGATTTTATTTATTTATTTGAGAGAGAGAATGAGAGAGAGCACGAGAGGGAAGAGGGTCAGAGGGAGAGGCAGACTCCCCGCTGAGCAGGGAGCCCGATGCGGGACTCCAGGATCATGACCTGAGCCGAAGGCAGTCGCTTAACCAACTGAGCCACCCAGGCGCCCCTGTCCCAGCGCAGCTTCTCTTGCAAAGAAGAAAAGACAAAAACCCATCCCGGTTTTCTTGGTGTGAGTTAGTCATCTGGCTTGTATTTGAGATTTCAATTTTAGATCTGTGAACTTTATATTTTATATGTGATAAGGTTTATAAACTTATCCAAATAAAAAGGCCTTTTTCTGGATATGCCTAAAGTTACATGGTGTAAGGCATTGTATTTGTTTACGCCTTCTCTTCTCATGTGTTCAGGACACTGTGCCTTATGCACCAGGGGCTCAGGTGACCTCCCAGGAGCTGGGCAAGGGCCAGCCCTGTCTTTGAAAAGTGTAGGTTTCGGACAATCCAGGCCTGCTGAGTTAACCCTTCACTGCACACACTTACTCACTTGGTTTATTGGCTCATTTCAAAGCCTTGTTTTGTTGTTGTTGTTATGACCAGGGTAGTTTCAACAAGGAAATAGTTTTCTGCCCTTCCTGAGGGTAAGTGGTGGTTTGTGGGAAAGCCCTCATCTGAGAAAGGCTTCTCCTGTCTCCGGTCTCTGGCTGACATGGTTTCAACAAGGAAATAGTTTTCTGCCCTTCCTGAGGATAAGTGGTGGTTTGTGGGAAAGCCCTCATCTGAGAAAGGCTTCTCCTATCTCTGGTCTCTGGCTGACATGGAGTCTCAGAATTATACCTGACCTTTCAGATACTCCAGCAAGGGTTGCTCTTCAGCTGTGGTCCAGAGTTGCTCCTCTGGGCCTTCTGAGGTGGGCTTTCTGATACTCTGCACCAGGGAGTGACATGACAACTGGGGGAAGTAAGCCTGTTGACACAGGAGGCTTGGTTTGGCTCGTGTGTTGCTGCAGAGTCCATACTCAATTAGATGGTGGTTTGTTAGATGCTCATTTCCTCCTTGTCCCCAGAGGTGAGACTCCCATATGGGTACGTGCAGTATTTTCCATCTTTAGGGTTGTGTATGGCTAACCTTCAGGGAAAGTAAAGAGGCCCATTCACTGTCAGGACATTTCCATTCACAGCTCTGGATAGGTGCTAACTCCCTTAATTCTTCATCATATTTGAAAACAGGCCAGACTCTGCACGTGGGTCTCTACACAGTACAGAAAGGCCATCACAATGGTTTTATATGCCTTTCAGTTGTTTTTTTATACAAATGAGACCTCAATCCAGTTGATTTCCAATTTATCAAAGAAGAAATATCCCTCTTTATATTGGGTGTTGCTGATGCCTTCATACCAAGTGAGGGATAATGCGAGGCTCCCTCCTCACCCTTGCCGGCCCCGACTCTGACCACATCTTGGTCCGCCCAGTTGACTTGGATCATCTTTCTTACATTCCCCTGGAGTAGATTCTGACACATGCACAGCCAAACTAACTTGCTTTCCTAGACTGGGGTTAGGGTGGCAGATGGGGCTGTTCCCACTCCAGAAATCTTTCTTAGGAAAAGAAAGAATAGGTATAATCTCTTAACATTATGACAGTTCAGGCTTTTATAAACATTGGGCACAATGTTTATAAAACATTGTCCCTTTAAGAAAAGCAACGTTGAGGGGGCGCCTCGGTGGCTCAGTCATTAAGTGTCTGTCTTCGGCTCAGCTCATGATCCCAGGGTCCTGGAATCGAACCCTGCGTTGGGCTCCCTGTTCCGCAGGAAGCCTGCTTCTCCCTCTCCCACTCCCCCTGCTTGTGTTCCCTCTCGCTGTGTCTCTGTCAAATAAATAAATAAAATCTTTAAAAGAAAAAAAGAAAAGCAACGTTGAGGGGCGCCTGGGTGACTTGAACGGTTAAGCATCCGACTCTTGATTTTGACTTAGGTCAAAATGGCTTAGGTTATGATCTCAGGGTCATGAGATCGAACCCTGAGCCCCACATTGGGCTCCATGCAGGGTGTGGAGCCTGCTTAAGAATCCCTCTCTCCTTCCCTCTGCCTCCCCCCGCCCGCTCCCCCCTCCCTGTCTCTTAAAAAAAAAAAAAAGAGAAAGAAAAGTTGACTTAATGTTCGGTTATTTACATAAGTTGATAAAATTTATGTAATCAGCGTTTCACAAAGGTTTAAATCCACTCTGTAAGATTTAAAGCAACTGTCACAGAAAAGGGAAACCAACAGGGTGGTCAGTATTGGGATAGTTCCTCCCTCCCTCAGTATCCTTGGCTCTAGAAGGAAACGAACTAGTACGGTGTAGGGAGGGAAATGGTGTTGGTTCTGAGAGTTCTCCTTCAGCTGTTGGACTAGCCAGCAGGGAATTGTCTGTCTTCTGTTCCTAAATGAGAGCCTTACTGTGTTTGATAGAGGAAAGAGGCATTTGTCGGCAGGACTCTGGGGATTTTACTTGAGAGCTGCCAGCCGAGCCCCCCCTTGTCCTTTTCAGCAGTGGCATTACTCTTCACTGCTTTCTACGTCTGTGTTCCCACCACCATGCTCGGGTTCAGTGATTTGCTAGGACAGCCCTCTCAGAAAAGCTCTCCTACTTGGGGTTGCTGTTGGTCACAGTGAAAGGATAAAGTCTGGAAAAAGGTGCACAGGGGAGACTCGGCATGAGCTGCCGGGGGTCCTCTCTCGTGCAGTCCTGTGGACGGAACTTAGATCTCCCACGGATGACATGTGACAGCACCCACAGAGTATTGCCAACCACAGAAGGTCACCGTGTCTTGGTTTCCAGGGATTTTATTGGGGATTGGTTACACGGCCATGGATTGGAGCTGCCTGCGTGGTTGACCTCAGTTACTCGGTCTGCAGGCCCTCCAGAGGTCAAGTTGATAGCCCGGTCCTTGCTGTAAGACTTGTTGTTAGCATAATGTCTGGCACAGCCCAAGTCTCCCAGGTAACCACAAGGATACTCTCACCAGATAGGATATTCCAGGGGATTAGAGATCTCCCAGAAGGTGGTCAGGGGCCCAACCCTTGTTCGGAATGTGCCTAGTTTGAGCACCCTGGACTTGCTGAGTTAACCCTTTATTGCAAAGCACACTGGTTTACTTGGTTCAGTGATTTGTTTCTCACTTGGTTCAAGTTAGAACTTCTTGTGATGTCTGCCACCTAGGAATTTGTGATTTGACACAAGGATCTAGTAGGGCTTCTGTTTCGATTAACAACTAATTGTGTTTATGTGCCTTTTATTACAAGTTGTTCACACGCTTTATGGAAGTAGGTGGGGTACGTACGCGTGTATACGTATATACACGTATAGTGACATGTATGTGTGTATACATACGTAGTAAGTCAGTGCTCATAATACTGGTAGTCAACAGGCAACTGAAAAATATTTCCTTATTCCTTTGTGCGTTCTTTGAGCAGAAATGTGTTGAGCACCTGCTATGGGCCAGAGACTGTGCCAGGCACCGGAGACATAAGGATAAATGAGACGTGCTCCTTACAGAGCTCAAAGACTAGCGGGGAGAGTAGAAGTCACAGAAGTGATTCTGATGAGCTCGGACACATCAGGCCTCTTGTGGATCAGATGCCAGCAGGCACTCTAATGACCTCAGCCACCCCCGAGGCTAGATGCTTGCTTCCCTGTCACAGATTAACAGCCAGGGAGGTACCGTCCCCTGCTGATGGGCTCCCAGCCGGCACCCAGCAGAGTGGGAATGTTACCACGTCTCTTTTTTCCAGAGCACCATATTTCTGCAGTGATTCCTGCAGGTTCTTCAGAGTGAATGAACATGTTTTGTGCTCTCTGGTGAGATTTGAAAACTGCCTCCCATAATAACCCATGTTGCTTGCTCAGGAGTTGCTGGGCAGGGCAGTAGCAGGCCCTCAGGAAGGGCAGCTTCTACGGAGTTGTTGGGGCTCAACTTTCTCGGCCCTCTTCTGGGCCAGGTGCATCCTCTCAGACCCCTGTCTTCTCCCCAGTGCCCAGAGGTGCGGCTGAACATCATCTCCAACCTGGACTGCGTGAATGAGGTGATCGGCATCCGGCAGCTGTCCCAGTCCCTGCTGCCTGCCATCGTGGAGCTGGCTGAAGATGCCAAGTGGCGAGTGCGGCTGGCCATCATTGAGTACATGCCGCTGCTGGCTGGACAGCTGGTGAGTGAGGTGGCTTGGGGTCAGGCCTCATCGTGGGCAGCGTGTCCAGGGCTATGACAGTGTCCCTGGGGCCTGTATGGGCTGTCTGGGGAGTAGGAGGAGGGGGCACGGGGATTGGGGCTATAAAGGTGGGTGGACTTCAGTTAGAAAAGAGAAGGGAGAGGAGCCCCCCAGATGAAGCTGAGAAATACCCGATGGGTTTGGGTGGGGGTGTTTCCCTGGGGTATCGCTGGAAACTGCCCAGTCTCCCTTGATTCCTTAACCTTTTTTTCTTCTGCAGGGGGTGGAGTTCTTTGATGAAAAGCTCAACTCCTTGTGCATGGCCTGGCTTGTGGATCATGGTGAGTCTCTCCAGCAGGATGGGGGAGGATGCTGGTGCTCCAGGAAGGATAGATGGGCATTGGCTGGGGCTGGGAGGGGTGTGGAGTCACTCTTCCAGGCCAGCTGCTTATGTGGACCAACTCCTTGGCTTTTTAGAATCCTAGAGAAATGCAGGATGGGAGGGGGATCGAGCAGATCATGTAGGGGTGGACTGGTGCAGTGGAGAGAGAGAGGGTGAGGGCCATTGGGCAGATGACCTGGCCTGGAATCCTGCCCCCTGGCTGTGGAAGCTCAGGCACACTCCTTTGTGAAATAGGGGGCTTCTCAGTCTTTCGGGGCCATTGTGAGAACTGCTCATTGCTTTCACTGACGGGTAAAAATTAAAGTTAACATTTGTCTGTATTGTTACTGTTCCAAGTACTAATTACTAAATGATTTGCTTGGGCAAGTCACTTCTTAGAGCTGTAGTTTGCCCATTTATAAAAGGCCAATAGTGAAACCTGTGTCTTGGAGCCACTGGGAAGATAACCCTACCTTTAGCACATAGCAAACCGTTTGGTTCACCTGCAGCTCAGTACCTAGGTGTGCGAGTGACTGTTACTCCCTGCCTGCTCACTCCTTCACCTCCTGAATCCCTGCCCTTCTGCAGTCTATGCCATCCGTGAGGCAGCCACCAGCAACCTGAAGAAGTTGGTGGAGAAATTTGGGAAGGAGTGGGCCCATGCCACTATCATCCCCAAGGTCTTGGCCATGTCTGGGGACCCCAACTACCTGCACCGTATGACTACGCTCTTCTGCATCAATGTGAGCGTCCCCACCTGCCTGCTGGCCTGTGCCCAGGGAACTGGGAGTACCTGGGAGAGGAGGGGTGGCGGGGGTTCTAAGGAAGACGTCTGGCTTGGGAGTGGGGACATGGTGAGGTTTGGGCGGGGCAGGGATGAGTCCCTGAGGAACTACAGGCCAGGGGGTGGGGACCTGCATAGTGGGAACCCCAAGACAGGGAGGCTTGGCCTGCTGAGCAGTGACTGCCAGACCTTTCCGAGCATCCCTCTCCTCCACAAAGCGTATACGCATGCTTGCTTATGATAGTTGGTTTTGTGTGCAGGCTCTGGAGTCGGACCTACTCTTTAATTCCAGCTCTGCCATGTATTAGTCGCGGACCTTGGGACATTTCCTAACTGCTTGGGTGCTTTAGTTTTCTTACCAGTAGAGCACTCGTGCTGGTAATCACAGTACTCGTGAGGTGGTGAAGATTAATCTGGTGGTACATGCAGAGGGTTTAGAGCAGTTAATGTAATATGGAGCACGGGTTCCTTTCTATTCATTTAAATAAACCATATACATAACTAAAAATTAAAAGACAGAATTTAAAAACATACAGGTAGAACTAAGTGTTCTCTGATGATTTCTTCCCACATCTCGCCTTGGAGACCATCACACTAAAGGAAGGCATGCCAAGGGTTAGGAATCGGGCGCATCCCCAGAAGATAGAGAATATTCTGAGGATGGGAAAATGAGACAGGACAGTCTGGGCTGGGGTTTTCCGGGACAGGGAGACAGTGGTATTTGGGCATTAGTGGAGATGGTAGTTTCAGGAGAATCAGCTGACCCCAGGGTCGGTGAACCTGGGCTCAGAATCCCCCATGTTGCTCAGTGTCACCCTCAGGCCTGTTCATCCCTCAGGTGGCCTGGTCAGAGGAAGGGGGAAATGGGAGTTAACCATGAACTTTGTATAATCACCCCTCTTGTCACTCACTGCCCCCAGGTGCTGTCTGAGGTCTGTGGGCAGGACATCACCACCAAGCACATGCTGCCCACAGTCCTGCGTATGGCTGGGGACCCTGTCGCCAATGTCCGCTTCAATGTGGCCAAGTCCCTACAGAAGATAGGGCCTATCCTGGACAACAGGTGAGGCTTGGATCCTCCCTCACACACTGGTGGGACTGGTTCTAGGCATCCTAATCTTTGACCTTTGAAGTTGGAGCCTAGGGTTTGAGGACCCAGTGTGTGTCTTCTCTTACTGTGTCAACTTGGCTTATCTCTTCACCTTCCCAAGGTCTTGGTTTCCTCAGATGTGGAATGAGAATTCCCATGGCCTATCTTATAGTGGGAGGGGACAGTGGGGTGGCAGTTCTGTATACTAGTAGCAACATGTTAGAAAATGAAATTAACAAATATAAATTATTTTTGTATATGTATGCAATTTGCACCAAAATCATCAGATACTAAGGAATAAATTTAATGAGAGGTGTATCACATCTTTAGTGAAAACTATAAAACACTGCTTTGAGAAATTAAAGATCTACTTAATATTCATGGATGGGATGGTTCCCCAAATTTATGTATGGATTCATTATAATCTGTCAGTCAGTCTTAGATCCTTTATTGAAAATTTGACAAGTTGATTCTGAAATTAACATGGAAATGAAAAGATCTGGAGTAGCAAAGGTGGTCCTAAAAAAGAAAAAGTTGGAAGACTTCAACTACCAGATACCAAGACTTATGACGCCACAGTAATTAAAAAGTGAGGTGTTGGCACAATAATATAGCCCAAAGAAACAGAATCAAGGGCACAGAAACAGACCTGTGTGTATATAACAGTAGGTACCACTGGAGTTCAGGAGGGAAATGTAGGTATTTTCATAGATGACTGGGTCAATTGGATATGCATGTGGGGGGTGGGGGGAACCTCCCACTTGGTACGTAAGCACATTAGAGTTAACAGACCAGAATCAGAAAAATAAGTAAAGATTCTGGAAGAAAACAGGACAACATCTTTAAGACTTGCAAAGATTTGTTTAAATTGCTCAGATTTGTTAAATAGCTCCCCATGGGAAAAGACTGATGAGCTCACCTTGAGTAAAAGAACTTCATTGAGGGAGAACATTATGAGAGTAAAATGGTGAGCCACTGATGGGGGGAGGACGTATTTGTAATACATATTTCTGACAAAGGACTGATTTCATCCAGAGTACTTTCCTACTAGTCAACTAGACAAATGCAAGAGATAGGCAAAACCCAACTTGAACAGGTATTTCCAAAAGATCTCCTCGTAGCCAATAAGTACATGACAAGGTGCTCAGCCTCATCAATCGTTGGGAAATTATAAATGAAAAGACACCCCAGGGGCACGGTGCCTGGGTGGCTCAGTCGGTTAAGCCTCTACCTTCTGCTCAGGTCATGATCCTGGGGTCTTGGGATTGAGCCCCTCAGCAGGGAGCCTGCTTCTCCCTTTCCCAATCCCCGACTTGTACACTCCCTCGCTCTCTCAAATAAATAAAATCTTTAGAAAAGGACACCCCAGAATGGCTAACCTTAAAAAAACTCAGGGTCATTTGGTGTTGGTAGAATGGCTGGAATTCTCTTACACAGCAGTTGGGGCTGTAAGTGGTAAATGGGTACAGTCACTGAAAACTGGTAGAATCTAGTGAAGCTAAGAATGTGTTCACTGTGAGCCGGCACAACATGTCCATTTCTGGGCCTGTATCCAAGAGAAGTGAGTGTTTATTTCTAGCAAAAGGACATTTGTGGTAGCTTTCCTCATATTAGCCATGAACTGGAAACAGCCCAAGTGCCTGTCCACAGTACAGTGGATAAACTGGTTTGTTCCTACAACTGGAGACTGTTCAGTGATGAAGACTCTTGCTCTGCTTAACAACACAGATGATTCTCCCCAATCTCATGTTCAGTGAGAAGCCAGACCCAAGAAAACATAGTCTGTGATTTCATTTATATCAAGTTCAAAAATAGGCAAAACAGATGTAGATGGTAGAAGTAAGAATGGTAGTTGTATGGGGCAGAGGAACAGTTTGTTAACTGGAAGGGGACATGCCTTCATTTCCCCCAAACACCTGACTTTCGGTGCGGGTAGTTTTCCTAGGGCCCCTTACTTGAAAGTAGATACCTCCCTTTGGCTCCCATTGGGCCAGGTACTTCTTTGGCACTTGACACTTCTCTGTTACTTATGGTCAGTTTGGTCTGTGTCTTCCTTCTAGCCCAAGCTCTCCATGGGCAAGAGTCAGGTGTTCGATTTACCACTCTACTCAACCTCATGCAGAGTAGGCCTCAGTAAATACGTAAATAAAGACATCCATTTGCTGAGCCTCAGAGACTTGTGGGTCCTGTTATTCTCTGCCCCACTTTCCCAGACCGTCTGACCTCCTTTTGCCTATTCTGGACCCCTGAGACCTCTGTTCTAGTTTGTTAGACTTCCAGCCTACAAAGTAATTTCATCTCTGGGCTCACATGCCGTCTGTGTGTGTGAACCCCTCCTTGCCCAGGAGCCCTCTGCCTGCCTCATGCCCTCCTGCCCAGCTTGGCTCACCCCTTCCCTTGCCTTCCCTTTGTCCTTCCAGCACGCTGCAGAGCGAAGTCAAGCCCATCCTAGAGAAGCTGACCCAGGATCAGGATGTGGATGTCAAATACTTTGCCCAGGAAGCTCTGACTGGTAAGGCATGAACTCGGAGACCCCATTGGGAGGGTGGTCTGCAAGGATGGGCCTAGGCCTGAGAACAGCAGCTCCTGGGAGGGGGATATGCAGGAGCACTTGTGGGCAGAGGGCTAGCTGTGGTTCTGACTCCCTCCTGTTCCTGTTCCCCCAGTTCTGTCTCTCGCCTGATGCTGGAAGAGGAGCCAACGCCGGCCTCTGGTGTCCACCCTTCCCCCTTCCCCCCAGGTCCCTTCCTTGGGGAGACAGTGGGGGGACTTTGGCTGTCACTCCCTGTGCATGGTCTGACCCCAGGCCCCTTCCCTCAGCACGGTTCTTCCTCTCCCCAGCCTGGGAATCCGACTTCTCACTGTCCACCTCCCAAGAGGCTTGGGGGAGCCAAGGTGGGACAGGGCAGTGACCCTGGGAGGAAGGGGCCACTTCTGCCCGCAGGGGAGAGATGTGAGCATCCCGGGTTACTGGCTCCTGCTGCTGTAATGGGGAACCCCTACCCCATCTACTTCTCCACCTCCTTTCTCCCTTCTTCCTTTCCTCTCCCCCCCCAGTGGTTTTTTTTTGTGTGTGTGTGTGTCAACTGTGCCATTTTTATTTTATTCCTGTTTTCCCTTTTCACAGAGAAATAAAGGTCTAGAAATAGCTGGTCCTCTGGTTTTAGTCCAATAGCATGGAGGAGGGGTGCCACACCAGGAGTGTAGCTGGCTTCCAGGATAGAGAGTCCATGAGGTTTCTGGCTAGGAGAAACCTAGCCAGAAACTAGGTTGTGATGCAGCTAGTTTCACAGACATTAGTCAAGTCTGTGGTGGTTCAGGGCAGGTGCCTTGAAGTCAAACTGCCTGGGTCCAGATCCTAGTTCTTTTAATTAATGGCTGTGTGACCTTGAGTAGGTTACCCAGGTACTCTAACTCAGTTAGAGTTACTTTTAAAATGAGGATAATGATAGTAAAGTAAAAGTAACCTAGAGTTACTTTTAAAATGAGGATAATGATAGAATCTAAATCGCAGCGTGAGACTAAATGAGTTAGTACATGTAAACTGGATAACTGTGCTGCATGGCATGTGAGAAGCAGTCAGTTGGAGTCAGCTATGACTTGCTGGAGAGCCCCCTGTGGGTCAGGCTCTGTCCCTGAGGAAGTCCCAGGAAAATCTGGGCTGTAACAGGGAATGGGAAGGGGACTGGCAAGATGGGAACACATTTCCCTCAATATCTGTTCTCCCATTTCTTCACTAATTAATAGAGAGACCGATTTGTAGCTGGGCACATGTCTGCCTGGCTTCAAGGCATTTTTCCAGGTCTCTCGACATTCCGTGTGATGCTATGACTAAATTCTGGCCAATAACACGTGAACAGAAGTGGTGTGTGCTGCTTCTAGGAAGAGTTCATAAGGGAGGAGATATTTGCCCCCTGTGTTTCCTCCTTCCTGCACTCTGGACTTCAGACCAGATGGCTGGAGTGGGAGCAAACATCTTGGGCCAGGAAGTGATCTTAGGAGCATAGGCCCAGCAAGGTGGCAGAACAAGATAAGAGGAGCCTGGGTCCTTGATGCTGTGAAAACCCACACTGATATTGGTTACCTGGGAGAGTTAAACTGTTTGAGTGACTGTTCATTTGGGGTTTCATCACTTGCAGGTCACCTGAATTCTAACTGATGCAGGGGCCAAAGAGCCCCGGAGAGAGGAGCAGGAGACTTAGTGGATGGTGGTACGTGTAAGGTTTCACAAAGGACGTGATACTGAGTGAAATTTTGCTCAACATGGTGGAGGGGAAATTGGCACTGGGTGGCAAAGCGATTTTACTGGCTCAGCCCTCATGTTACTGAGTCCTTACTGATTGTTAGGCCCAACTGTCCTTGGGGATGAGGGGTAGGAGATCCTGTTCCTCCCATTATTGGCTTATGTTAGTTTCATAAGAGAAGGACCTGTGGTTTAAGTTTGGTCCCCCACCCCGCACCCAACACAAATGTACCGTACTTTCTTAGGATATAAATATTTGAAGGACTCACTGAGTGAAGAATCGATGAGGTTGGGAGGTGAGGCAGTATGGTCACTTTCAGCCTGGTAAATGTTCAAGTTCATTTGGCAATCCACCACTAATTCCTGAAAGAACATTCAAATGAATGCTGCATCGTGTTTCATTTGTATTTTACTGTATAACAACCCCCCCCCAAAAAAATTGTGATTTAAAACAATGAAAATGTATTATTCCTCATAATTCTGCAGTCTGAGCTCAGCTCAGTTGGAAGATTCCTCTGCTCCATATGGTATCTACTGGGGCTGGAATGTTCAAGGCGACTTCTTCACCCCCATGTCTGGGAGTACCACCTCAGCTGAGGCCTGGTACAGCATCTCTCACTGTGGCCTCTCCAGGGTGGCTGGATCTCTTTATCTGATGGCTTATGGTTCCAGAGCAGTTTCCAAGAGAACAAGTCCCAGTTTACAAGCGCTTTCAAACCTCTGCTTGCATCACAAGCTGAAATAAGTCACGTGGCCAAGTCCAGAGTCAGTGCAGGAGGTGACCTCGCAAGATGTGAAAACCTAGAGGTGTGGTTCACTGGGGGATGCCAGTGTGACAGTCAGCCACACATGGTCCAGAGAGAAACTTTGGGTTCCATCTTTGCTCTGCTACAGACAGGTGGAGGCATCAATAGCACAAGGAGATAAGGCTGATTACAGAGTATATAGAGCATTTGGAGCAAGCTGAAGATTTAAACTTTATCCTGGAAGCCAGAACAGCCACAGGGGTTTTTGGTAAAGGACTGACAGTATCAGAATTGAAGGGGGATACCTGAGGCCAGGAAACCTGGGAGGATATGGTCTAAGCAAGAGAGGAGTTTTGAGCTGGAGGCAGGTACCATACAGTTGGGGAGGTTGTAGGTAAAAAGAGAAACAAAGCTACCCAAGGAGACAGATTGGGACTTGGTGACACCTGGATAGGGGAGTAAAGGGAAGGATGCAGTCATCTTGGCAACCAGGATTCAAGTCTTCTGAGATTCACCTGGGAAAGGAGGGTTCCTGCAATCCCACGTGTACTTCAACATTTCCAGCCTTTGAACCTCTACCTGGAAAGCTTTCCCTCCTCGCTTCTTGGGAAACAAGTTAATTCAGTATGGAGAGTGGGGAAAGAGGTGGAGTGGCATAGGTGAGCATGGATAAATACGTAGGGGACAGATCTTGATGAGCCTCCAAATACCTCGAAGGGATTGAATGTGACCCAGAGGGACAAGATGGAGTAAGACTCTCGGGGCGGGGAGGGGGGAGATCCTTCCAGGGTCAGATGAGGTCAGGGTGCCGGGGAGGAGGCTGGGATGATGGTCCTCGGGGGGCAAGGGAAGGAAGCTGGGTCTGGGGCTGAGGAGAGTATGCAGAGACATTGAGGAGGTGGACTTGAGGCCACTTCTGCTTTTCAAACCCACGGGAAGTTACAAGAGAAGCAGCTGGAAGGCGGGCCCTGTTGCTCCTCCTCTTCTCACATTAATCAAAACACGAAGTCTCAACACATGCCTTGTCATCAGCCCTCCTGTCTCGAGGAAATCCCCACTTTAGCCACTCCCTTTAGTTCTTCCCTGTCCAGCTATGTTTTTCAGATGAGGACACAGACCCAGCGTGTTCTGGGTGTCTGATGCGGGCTCTTATGGACTTACCAGATCAGAACTCAACAAATCTCTCCCAGGAGAAAAAAAATGCCTTAATTTCCTCTGGTAGCTTAAGATCCTTTTAGGGCCCGGCCAAGGACGGAAGCTGGCCCTACAAGCTAGATGAGAAGAAGCAGGGCATGGCTGGCCCTATAGGAAATTGGAATCCTAATCTCTTAACCATGATGCAAAATGTAGAAATCCATGGTAGGCTTTTTAATGAGTTATTTGGGGCAAAACCTGATCTGACCTGAACTACTATAGTAGCAAAACCCCAGCTTAGTATAGAGTTTTGATGCCTCTTGCATGGAATACACATCACAGCCAGAAATACCTGTGTCTTGGGAATATATGGAATGTATTCAATTAGTAATCAAAAGACTGTCCACAAAAGCCTGGGCCCAGATGGCTTCACTGAATTCTACCAAAACATTTAAAGGATTAATACCAATTTTTCACAAACTCTTCCCAGAAGTAGAAGAGGAGAGAACACTTCCCAGCTCATTCTGAGACCAGCATTAGTGTAATATACCCTATCAATAAAAACATGATCATCTCCATTGATGCTAAAAAAAAAAAGCATTTAATAAAATCCACACTTTCACGATAGAAACACAATAAACTAGAAATAGGAATTTCCTTAACCTGGTAAAAGGTATCTACAAAAACCCACAGATAACATAATGTAAAAGATTGGGTACTTACCATATAAGATAAACAAGACAAAAATACCCACTCCTGCCACTTATTTTCAACATTGTAGTAGTAGTTCAGGGTAATTAGGCAAGAAAAAAAAAGGCATGCAGATTGGGAAGGAAGTAGAACTGTATTTGCAGATGACATGATCATGTATATAGGAAATCCTAAGGAATCCACTAAAAAAAAAACACACAAAAAACCAGTAAAGAAGTTCAGTAAGATTGCAGGACACAAATATACAAAAATAATTTGTATGTCTGTACATTGGCAGATAATAATTGTTGGTAAGGAAGTGGAGATACTGGAATCCTCATATACTGCCGATGGGAATGGAAAATGGTGCAAACACTTTGGAAAGCAATGTGGCAGTTCCACTGAGTTACCATTTTGCCCACCCATTGTACTTCTAGGTATATACCCAAGAGAATTGAAAACCTATGTCCCCATAAGAACTTACACACAAATACTGATAACAGCATTCTTCACAATAGCCAAAATGTGGAAACCACCCAAATGTCCATCAACTGATGAAATGTATCCATATAATGGGTATTAGCCATAAAAATGAATGAAGGATTGGGGCGCCTGGGTGGCTCAGTCAGTTGAGTATCTGACTCTTGATTTTGATTCAGATCATGATCTTGGGGTCGTGAGATAGAGCCCTGTGTAGGGCTCAGCAGGGAGCCTGCTTGAGATTCTTTCCCTCTGCTCCTCCTGTTAATGCTCTCTCTAAATAAATCGTTAAAAAAAAAAAGTGAAGTATTGATACATGCTACAACATGGATGAATTTTGGAAACATCTCATGAAAGTAGCCAGACACAAAAGGCCAAGTATTATTATAGGATTCTGTTTTACTTGTACCTTTGGTATCATATCTAAGAAATTATTGCCAAATCTAACATCATGAAGGTTTTGACCAATGTTTTCTTCTAAGAGTTTTAGGTCTTTGATGCATTTTGAGTTAATTTTTGTATATGGGGTTAGGTAGGAATCCCAACTTCATTTTTTTGGCCTGTGGGTATTCAGTTATCCTAGTACCATTTCTTGAATAGCCTTGGCACTCTTAAAAATCATTTGACCATGAAGGCCAGTACCACACTACGTTGATTACAGCTTTGTTTTGAAATCAGGAAAGTGAGTTCAGTACAGTAGCTTTGTTCTTTTTCAAGATTGTTTTGGTTATTGAGGGTCCCTTAGGATTCCACATGATTAGGATGGGTTTTTCTATTTCTGCAAAAGACATCATTGGGGTTTTGATAGGGATTGCATTAAATCTGTAGATTGCTTTGGGTAGTAGTGACATTTTACAATAGTCTTCCCATCCATGAACATGGGATGCATTTCCACTTATTTATATGTTTTAATTCTTTGAAAAATGTTTAGTAGTTTTCATTGTAGAAATCTTTTACCTCTGGTTAGTTTCTTATTCTTTTTGATGCTATTGTAAATGAAATTGTTTTTATAATTTCCTTTTCAGATTGTTCATTGCTAGCATATAAAAATCAACTGATTTTTCTGTTGACTTTTTATTTTGCTAGTTTGGTGAATTCATTTATTCTAATAGTTTTGTTCTGGAATTTTTAGGCTTTTCTACATACAAGATTTTATCATCTGCAAACAGATAATTTTACTTTTTCCTTTCCAATTTGGATGCTTTTTTTTCTTACAGACTTGCTCTGTTTAGGACTTCTAGTACTGTGTTGAATAGAAGTGGCGAGAGTGGGCACCATTGTTCTTAATCTCAGAGGAAAAGCTTTACTTTAACTCTTGAGTATGTGATAACTGGCTGTGGGCTTTTCATATATAGCCTTTATTTTGTTGAGGTGCATTCCTTCTATACTCAGTTTGTTGAGTTTTTATCATGAAAGGATTTTGAAGTTTGTTAAGTGCTTTCTACAGTTACTGAGATGATCACATAATTGTTATCCTTCATTCTGTTAATGTGGTCTATGGCATTTGTTGATTTGCATATGTTGAACCATCCTTACATCCCAAGGATAAATCTTACTTGATTATAGTGTGTGGAACTTTTTATGTGCTTTTGAATTGGGTTTGCTAATAATCTGTTGAGGATTTTTGCGTCAGTATTCATCAAGTATGTTGACTTGTAGTTTTGTTTCCTTATAGTGTCCTCCTCTGGCTTTGGTATCAGGGTCATGCTGACCTTGTGAAATGAGTTTGGGAGTGTTCCCTCCTCGTCAGTTTTTTGGAGGAGTTTTAGAAGAGCTGGTGTTAATTCTTTAAATGTTTGGTAGAATTCACGTGTGAAACGACCAGGACCTGGGCTTTTTTTGTTGGGTTTTTGATTGCTTATTCAGTCTCCTTACTCATTATTGGTCTGTTCAGATTTTCTGTTTCTTCATTATCCAATCTTGGTAGGCTGTATGTATCTAGGAATTTATTTCTTCTAGATTATCTGGTTTGTTAGCATATTATTTTTCATAGTGATTTCTTAACGATCCTTTGTATTTCTGTGGAATCAGTTGTAATGTTTCCTCTTCTGTTTACAATTTTTTTGAGTTCCCCCCCTTTTTTGTTTTTTGGTTTGTCTAGCTAACAATTTGTCATTTTCTTTAAAAAAAAAAAAAACCCTTAGTTTCAGATTTTTTTTCTATTGTATTTCTTGTCTCTATTACGTTTATTTCTGTTCTACTCTTTATTATTTCCTCCCTTCTGCTAAGGTTTAGTTTGTTCTTTTTTTTTTTTTTCTTTTTTAGTTTCTTGAGGCATGATGTTACATTGCTTATAGGAGATCTTTTTTCTTAATGTAGGTATTTAGTACTATA